CATGGCGGTCTTTAACGTCATTGGGCAACTTGAAGAAAGTTTTATGTTAGCATTTATGTAATTCGGGTTACTTATCATCATCATCTTATCATCGTCATGAAAAGTATGTGATCGTTCACTATACTATAGGTCTCCTTTATATAAGACTGGTACTGCTGTTCAAATTGTTTTACTTACCGTTGTGCGTTATAGTCTATTTCATATTCTCTATTACTCATATTTTGCAATACATCGTCGTTGGCATTCCTCCTCCTGACCTTCTCTTACCCATTTGACCTAATTCGTAAAAATGACCGTATTTTATATGAAGGGATAGCTATACTTACTATGGGTTACGACTACAGATTGTCAAGACTTATCTTTCTTTACCATATTTAGTCCTAAGAGGAGAGGATTTTTTACAGAACCTCGATAACTGATTTTGATTACAATTCCCACAAGGTTTACTATAAGAACTTGTTAAAGAGAAGTTGGAACTTTCATAAGTTGTCTCTATGGACAAATCAATTTGCCGAAATGCCTTATATGTAATAATGTATCAATTTGATATAACAGAACACAATCCAATATCATCTCCCGTATTACGCTCTCAAGAACTAAGATAATAAAAACTCAATAGCTTCGTATTACTTCTATCATGACACCGTACATAAAACAAGGTCCCATAAAAACATACACAAAATAAATTCCGACGTAAAAACCTAAATAAGCCAATAAAGTGGTTTAATAAGCACGCATTTACGTTGCGGACATCTTTTTTGGTCGACATCAGTGATATTTACTTTACGAGAGAGCCGTAAAAGGCAAATTTCATCGGCCCCACTGTGTCCTTAGCGTGTTTTATAGTGACATATGACGGGTCACGCTTCGGAAGAAAACGTATGCCTTGACAATTCGTTGGACTTACTAAATAATTATGTGCCTTGACCTTTATATTTTATTTTTGTTTTATGTCTTTGGACAATATCATGCTTATATTGTCAACTATAGGAATAATACAAGAAAGGAACTAAAGGAACTTGGAATAGAATGGATCCATTCTGTACCTATTCCTTACTATGAAAAATGATGTACTTACATATTTGCAATAATTTCAATACACATAAAATATCGCCCAATTTAAAATGACACATTTAAATTCCCTCAACATAAATTCAACCCTATATTGGCAGTATGGGGTATTCACGACCCAAAGATATAGCAGGGGTATAGGAAAAAGGCGCTATTTGCAATGATAAGGGAGGAAAACAATTGAAAACACAATTTACTGGCTTACCTGCACCGCATTGAGGGATTGAAGGTATTTTACCTAAGTCATAGATACCACTTTATTCGACGCGTGCGAATAAAGAGGGTGCAAAATATAAACATAAATATGTGTGGGTTTTTGTAATATAACTCCAGGTACAGAATATCTAATTTAATAATTATATTCGTTGTTGTTTTATTTTTATGAAATAAAATATAAAATCATACTAAATATAAGCAATAATTTGACATTATTAAATCTAATATTTTGTTTACAACCTTAATCAACCAATCGAAACATTTACCAAATTCCAACCTTTTGAAGTTCAAATCATATTTATAATTATCAAGAATAAAAATAAAATTCAGGTTGATAATTTATTAAAGTAAGGTAGCCAAAAGTTTTAACCGAGTAAACACACCATCTGCAGGTTTTTTGTTCAAAAGTTAACCTGTCCCTTTTGGGAAACTGAGATAATAATTTTAAGCACTCGTGGAGTAGTTTTAGGAGCTTTTAATGGAATAAAAGCATTTGGGATTTTTTGCACCGCCGCCGCATAAAATGGGTTAAAATAATATACCGGGCTGAAATGTTTTCCGCGTCGCTGGAGGTAGGCTAACGCCTAATTTTATTTGAGTTTAAATTTATTTTACTAATAGGTCAGAACCTTTTACATTTTCAGTTAGAATACAATAAAATTGCTCTATGAGAACCATTATTAGAACTAGAAGCAAAAATTCAAGCTCATTCCTTTTTTTTTTCAAACATCATTTGTCCACAAACACTTACATGTGACAGACGTAACGGAATCCTCACACTTCAGTTAAAATTCCAATTGTAACTGTATACGGGATGAGTAAAGGACTGCAGACACTGTTACCATGACAACCGTAGGCACTTAGACAGGGGGAGGCTCAATATGAACTGCACCATTTGAATTTCAAGTGCTATGCAAAGCGAATCCGATCTGAGGACCCGTTGAGATCGCTTTAAATGTGCTTTAGTAAACACGGATATTATTGTCTCACTCGAATACCAATTGTTCTTTGTGGCTTCAAGTAGGTCCCTTTGTGGGCAGAGGGAACTAATTAAAATACAAAGGAAAACAAGAAAAAAGATACTAATCTGCAAATGTGACTACGTAGAAAAATTTTTTCGATTGAAAATTGCTAACTTTTGTTTGTTTTTAAATATTTATACTTCATAGGTTTTCTAAAAACGTCTAGATCTCAGTTTTTGGCAGCTTGTATCTTTTATTAAATTTCAATTCAATCACTTGCTACTTCGTCTTATCAGAATCTGCTAAATTCGTTAATTTCTCTGAAGCAATTATCAATACTCCATTTTCCATAAAAGCATTAACCAAACGAAACTAATTGGTAAGCACAAGAATTACTGAATAAACAATATAAAGTAAAACTATACCTCAGAATGCAAATTCTCTCTGTAATTGATCATTACGTCGCGAACGCTTCACAAACAATTGGAAAAGGATCCGTTTCACAACACTACTGTGGCACAAACAGACACAGACGAATGAAACGCGGGTTTCCATCCTTGTTTCCGCGGTTGTATTATTTTTGTCTCTATTATGTGGTGGTTATGGTTTTTATTTCTTCGGCATGATTATTTCGAATGCTTTCTACCGTCTATTGGATTCGGTTTGCTGTCAGGCTTTCGAGTGTTGTGAAATATACTTTAACCCATAAATACAGTACAATTTAAAACTTGGAAGTTAACAACGGTATCAGAGGTGTATATTTTTTTCGCTTTAGGTCTTCACCTAAAGCGAAAAAAATAGTTTGTCACACATCAAAGTCTGCGAAGCGTTACCGATTCATGGTAGATGTCCCACCAACACTCACGGAGTGCTTTAATATCACGCTTCTTTGTGCGTACTTCTAAGGAGCGGAATTCTTTGCCAGTGTTTGTATTTCCTGAAGGGTATAATAACCTGGGTGTCTTTAAGGCCCGAGTGAATAGGTTGCTTATGAAAAGACATGCTCCATCTTAGACCGCATCATCGCTCACCACCAGGCGAGATAGTGGTCAAACGTAGCGACGTTTGACGCGCGCGTCGCGTTGAGTCGACTCATCAAATAATACAAAAAAAAATTAAAAACTCAACAGATATATACCCAACATCAAAATGGTCAGTCTACACGAATGTAAGTAAGCCTCAAGCTACTCATTGTACAAAACCCCTAAAATAGTATATTTACTTACAGTTTAATACAAAAGAAAAATTGTAACAAGGTTTTAGGGGTACGAAAACAATAGAGGTATATTTGGACCTAAACAAATAATAGTTACGTAGCCGAGCAAGCATGTTTTCCCAAAATTACGAACTAAAACAAAAATGTAACTTATGTCAAACGTCGAAATAAAAGTACGAACGGAATTCTTTCTTTTTCTAATTTTCTGACTCGTTGACGTATGAAATAAGCTCTGTCCGTTTAAATATTAATAGTGTCTTCAACCGACCATGTAGTTTGCTTTCGTTCATGTGTAAGGTAAGATATTGGAAGAAAGATACCTGAAGAATTTTCTGTTCTTGTGTCTACTTATTCTTCTAAGAACTGTTGCGTTGGTGTTATACTGAAACTATATCTATTTCCAAATTAGTTCTGGAATCTACATTTAAGTTAGTGCTTCGAAATTCAGTATATGATAACAATGGACTCATTTCGTTTAATATAGGCCATCAGGTAAATAAACATTAATCTAAGCAGTGAGAATAAGATGATGTGGTTATGTTAAACTACAACATCCTACGCCTAAGTGCTCTGAAATTGTGATGAGACAACTAAAATAGACACTATAATTATAGCATTAAATCTACAGTCTACAATACAACTTCAATATCCATTATAGCAATACTACAATATGCAAATGACCAGCAACTTACCGACAATAGTCCACTAATAGATTAATCGACGCGCGACACGAAGCGACAAAGCGACAAATTCAATGTCGAATCCAAATCAATTAACTAGGACCAATTTGGGCGAAGTTGGACGGTGCAATTAGAGATGTCTGGCTATCTGACCGAACTTAGGTTCCATGCTAACGACGTACAGACTGTTCGTAATGATTTTCATTTGTCACAGAATACTCGGTACACTATCAAGTACTAATAAATTACATCGCAGATGTTATTAACTTAGCAAGCAATTTCCGCAATTTGTAACACTTTTTCTGATTTGAGAATCTAACCATCGAAGTTTTGTTTAATATTCATCATAATCTTTGGGCTAGCTTAATTTTAAACAAGTCGAAAAAATAATCGTGAAAAGTTGAAATTCGCATTTTTAGTAGGTATAAAATTCATAGTAACGGGATAAGACTAGGTTCAAAAAATAGGTAAATATTCAATAGCAAAATATGGATACATAAAATACCTAGTTGTACTAAAATATACATTTCAAGAACCTCATCTATTTTAATACACTGTGTGGGTTGGAAACTATCAACCTATTATTGAATGATTTCCAATTTTAATCAGCTCTTCTCGGTGCCTTCTCAAATTATTTCAACGCCTACTCTTCGTGAATAAGGATTCTTATCCAGTAAATTATCTTTCAAAGAAATAGTAACTAGAGCCCTTCAAAATCTATTTTACTTTCGTAAAACTGTTTAGCCACCACAACCCACTTAACAGCTATTACTTGGTTTTGACTTTTCCTAGCTTCATCCAACTAACCTACTTTACCATTATTACATATAACAAATAGATATAACAAATTTCGCATTTATACTTTTAGGAAAGTTTTATTTGTCTCATAAAACTATGTCTTCGGCATTATTTGTTCCTTAAATCTTCAATGCAGCCCCTTCACAAGTCGTAATAAAACCTACTCTGTCTGAATAACGTTTTCCTTCGAAAATATAATCTTTCAAGGACACAGTGACCAGCACATCAAAACCCAAATCTTTTCCTATCTTCTTAGTACCGTCTGCTGTCCAAATCGCGGTAAGTAACTTTGGTGCTCTTGTAATTGGCTTCCTTAGTTTCATAAAAGCGTATTTTGGTCCAAGATCCTCAACCTTCAGGGGAGCAATTGGTCCATGTTTCAACTTCTTTGCTAGTTCTATTGAAGTTTTGCAGAGTAGCTTAGCAAGTCCTTTTTGTCTGTGTTCTCGAGAAGTCCCAAGGAATAATAGTTCAAAGAGGCAATCAATTCCGTACCTGAGTGAAAACAAATACTATTATTTGTTCGGTTGAATGAATGTTGTTCTGTAGTGTATAGTGAGACTATCAACTCATATGAACAAAGTAATTATCTCGTCAACATAGTAATTCTTTCGATCTTAACCAATACCGTTATAGTGTTGATATAATTGTAAATAATATTTTATATCACTATTGTAAGTTCGAGACTTATCCAAATTATGAAGTTTCTGACTAACCTTTGCAAAACCAAACTATAAAGTTTCTTACCTTTCAAAATGATTGCATTTTGAGTCGACGTCTACCATGAAATCTACAATAGCACGAGATTTTGGTTGTTTGCATCTCTCTTCGATAAACGTTTCGAAAAATGACTTTCCCGATGATTCGGATGGTGCTTCCTGTCAAACATTAAAAATATGAAATAGATTTCATTAGGATTTCCTTTATCACGAAAACGGTGCTAGTCAAATTGTGTTCGTGTATTGTATTAAGCAATGTTAAACCTTTCCGAAGGGTTATATTCATCCGTTAAGAACATACAAGGAAAATTTTTGGAAGTGCCTGTGCTACTTGCTAGTAGCACAGCCACAGCCAACAACAGTAGTAGGCTGCATGACATTGCCACGACCACGCACACTGCTCATGAGGAAGAGCCTCTTCGCGGCTCGAAACTATTGGAGCACTTTTCTGTATATTGACGTGAGTACTCCGCGAATTTTAGTCAATTTGGTACGTCTCACAATAGTTATTATACAAAAATAAATCTACTTACTTGCAGTTTACTGAAAATAACTGCTACTACTTCTCCACTCACTATTTCAACAGCCACCAATGATACTCCGTCTAACGCTGCGTCAGCGCAAAGTTCTAGTAATTCTTCTATAGCTAACGGATCTTTATTTAGCCCGATTCCAGTACAGACCAATTCATCTTGGAAGAAATCGTCTCTCATAACCTGGTTATGACAAAATAAACGTAAAGAACATATAGTTAGAATAAGCACTAACTATTCTTTTCAATTTTAATCGTTTAGTGACGAATGCCACTCTTTTTCTTTTAGTGAGTTTCATAAGAATTGACTAAGGGATTACATATTTAACAGGAACCGAGCAATGCACCCTCCCAAAACTGCTACAGCCCCTGTAAATTAGGATCTACAGTAGATACAACCATGAATACACTGAAAAATTGGAGTACGGCGCGTCCCAAAGACATGAATAACGATCTTTAATCCCGCGACAAACAAACAAAAATATAAGGATATTAATAGAGTAAAAGAAAAAAATATTGTTTCCAATTCTCTCGGTGAATTTAATGCGGAAGATAGAATGACTTAAGGAACACAAAATAGGTACATAGCCCAGCCGTAGACTTTATCAGACTGATGATGTAATTGTATTGTTTCAAAAGAAAACTAGAAGTAAAATATTATAATAGCAATGATTATTGGACCTAATTTGTTATCGTTGTAATCAGTGAAACAAAAATATAATTGATGAACATAATTTGGAATGATAAAACATATTTTATTGTTATCAAGATTTTAATAAAGATATACTTACTTTGAAGCTGCCGTCTAATGTAGCAGCGGTCAGTGATTCGATCCTGTATTTACCTAAAATTAAAGATTGATATGATACAGGTTTCTAATAAGGAATACGTTATTAAAAAGAAAATTGCACTTTTGGAAATGCATGTAAAATAATCTGAGCTTTTCATTTCCATGTAATTTAGATTCACTTCAACTACTACGAAAAGAACGAATTTCGTTTTGTAAATTTCCAAAAGTGCTGTAACCAAAGATGTAATAATTAGAATCAGTCCATCTTTCATTCGAAAAAAATATAGGTAGAATCATCAAAAAATATGAAACTACTGCAATTATACCTGGCACCATTCTAAACTCCATGCTACTATTGAAACATATTTAAAAACCGAAAAAGTTTCAGTAGTACTATGCCCATATCTACAACTACGGTCCTACTCAATCAACTAGAGATTTTCCACATTATGCATTATTTTTTTGTTTACACTTTTTTAAGCTTTTTTATTCGGCAACACCCAATTTAATTTATTGGTAAATAAATTCGGCAAAGCAAAAATAGGTTTATTCATAAGTCTTAAATTATTAAAAATTGTCACCTACCATCATTCGTGATTAGCAACTCCATTTTCTACAAGCACTTTGATACACCAACAATATTAGCAAAATAATCTATAACAGGTGAGCTTATTGTGATCACCCTGAAGGACTGTGAATACTAATAAAGTACCCAATTTTTTATTACTTCGTTATCTAGATAATTGCATTTTTGTAGGATTACCTGCTTTGTAGCGCCATCTCCTATACGAATCGGGAATTATTTAATGAAAACGTCAAATGTCATGAGTGGTGCCATCTCTTATATACTGTTGTGAATCATACTGAAAATTTCAAAAAGCTTGGACGAAACAGGTAGGTATACAATGAGTTTTACAAATGGTCTCGCTTTTTGTGACCTTTTTGCACATTAGGCAGTCATTTTAAATTAATTGTCATCATGTAGCCATGTGAAGTACTTATTTTTAAACTTTTAGAAACACACTCACATTAGATTTACGCATTTAATAATAATTCAACAACAATTAAATGACATAAACATTTTTTTTGCATCACAAACTGTCTTCGGCATCAATTAGTCCTTAAATCTTCAGTGCAGCTCCCTCACAAGTAGTGACAACGCCAACTCTATCCGAATAAGTCTTTCCTTCAAAAACATAATCTTTTAAGGACACTGTGAGCAGGACTTCGAAACCCAAATCCTTTCCGATCTTCTTAGAACCTGCTGCTGACCATAGCCCGGTACATAATTTTGGTATCTTTGTAACTGGCTTCCTCGGTTTCATAAAAGCATACTTTGGTCCAAGATCCTCAATCTTCAGCGGAGTAGCAGGTCCATCTTTTAACTTCTTCGCTTGTTCTACTGACGTTTTACAGAGAAGCTTGGCAAGTCCTTTGCGTCTGTGTTCTCGAAGAGTCCCAAGGAACATCAGTTCACAGAGGCAGTCAACCCCGTATCTGAGTCAAAATAAACGCCATTATTTGTTTGTTTAGGTATTGATATTAGTGTAGAGTCCTGGAGTGTAGGTGTTAAAGGCCTTTACCCAACATGAACAAATTGAATAATACAAAGGTATAATTTAAGTAAACATGTCTGAATATCCTGTCAACTTCCAATATTTATTACCTTAAACAATATTATAGTCTAGTAATGAAAAGTAGTAGATAGTATAATATGTATAAACAGCGTAACAAACCACTAAGGACCATAACATTAACACAGGAGTAAAAATCTTCATATTATGAATTCTTACCTTTCAAAATAATTGCACTTTGCATCAAGTTCTACCATGAAATCGATCAGAGAAATGGCGGCTGGTCGCTTGCAGCGCTCTTCGGCAAATGTTTCGAAAAATGTTTTTCCTGACGAAGCAGATGGTGCTTCCTGCAATAGGTAAGCATAATTATTAATAAGAATAGATAAAAAATATATTTAAATAAGTTACTCTTCATCACGAGAATAATACTACTCATATTTTAAATATGGAAACATGGAAATTAAGGAACTGTCAGCGTCCTTCGCTAAAACTTTGAAACATAATAATGTGAACAATTAGATATTTTGTTAACTATTTGGAAATCGAATAAACGGTACATAATATAATAAGTACTCATACTTAGATCCATCTAACAGATCTATACCCAAAACCTCATGCATGACGAGGAACAGAAGTAAAGACTGTCTATGTTGTTACTTTAATATTTTATAAGACTTAGCTCGGAGACGTCAGATAAAACTATCTGTTAACACGTTAAACACCATGGGGGGTAATCGGTAACCGGCGTTAGCGGAGGATTTACCTTCAACAGTTTTTTATTGGCAGTCAAAGTCTTAAGACACCAACAAAGCTATTGATTATTTTACGTTAAACTTACAATAGGTCAGTGAACTTATTATAAGTGGAAACATGTCACAAATAATCGTTATTTATTTTTATGAGAATGACTATGAACGATAACCAAGGACAAAACATCAAGAGATTAATGAACTTAATATTATACACGGATCTTTTTTTTATTATTGTCTGTGTTTCAGATTTTTGATTTTTTTTTAAAGTGAAGTTCGTGTTTAAAGTAAAGCTACTAACCTGTAGTTTATTAAAAACAACGGATACAACTTTTCCACTCGCAATTTCAACAGCCACCAGCGATAGTCCGTCTAGCATTGCATCTGCGCAAAGTTCTAGTAATTCTTCTGCAGCTTCCGGATCTTCGTTTATTCCAGCACCAACACTAACGTCTTCATCTTGGAAGAAATCTTCTCTTATTATCTGTTAAGCATAGGACAAGGACATGTTAAAAATTCTACCTCCAACCATTCCCTCATATCTGAGAATCGTGGTTTTGGAGTTATATTTGGAGCGAATGATCTGCCCCTATTGGGTTCAGAACGTGTCTCACGACCTCTTTTTATATTTGACAACTAGTAATTTATAATAGTTCGCTAAGTCTGTTGACTATTTAACTGAACAAATCTCGGTGATAACTTTTTAGTTAAAGCATCCAGTTAGGTTACATAGTATACGTACTTTCTAAGATTATTTAGACACCACTGACCAACGGTGAAGCAAAACATCGTGAGGAAACCTGAGCATTTCTATTATTATAAGTTTGAAATTGCCAACCTGCATTGAGCAAGCGTGGTGATTATTATTGCTCTAACCTTCTCTATATGAGAAGTGGCTTTGCTCAGCAGTGGGTCAATAGTAAGCTGTTGATGATTGATCCAGTTAGGGCAGATAGTTTGGAGGACGATGAGACATTCAATTCATCGGTAAATCTGGTCGTTTACCTTCGATGCTCCCAAAGACAATAAGTTTTTCCATACTTGCTTAATCCATACATCGCTTCTGAGCACTGTGTGGCCAAAATAGGATAGAATGCGTTAGTGGCAGATGCTCGAGAAGCGGGTGTTTATTTTAAGATGGACGCAATGGTACATTTTACAAATAAGCAAAAATTCTCACATATTTTGCTTTTATGACAGATAACTTCGTTAACTAACTAAACAACCCGATGTCAATTGTTTTAAAATGTTATCCAAAGATTGTCCACGGATGTATCCTATCCAAATTATTTAATATCAACAGTATTTTTTCTTCTTTTACTTACTTTCAGAGCACCTTCTAAAGTAGCAGCACTCATCGACTCGATTCTGTATTTTCCTAAAATAAATATCGATTGGTTACAAAAAAATACGACTGTTTACAAAAAAATGTATTGCAAAAATTTTATTACATTGTAAATTGTAATAGATAGTGTTCATAAATTAAAGAAGATATACACAGACACAATTACACATATATTAATTACATGGATATAAAACACTCGATATGATAAAGGGACAATCTATGTAAACCATAGGAAATAAGTAATCGGGTAAAACCCACACAAGAAGTCTATTTTCCTCATAGGACTCTATCTAGATAGTTGTTAGTTGTCCATGACGATGTAATTATATAGCTGTTATCTTAATTCAAGTCTAGTATATTAGGTTTTCCGGAAAAATAAAAAAAAAATAGTCTGGCATTGTACATTTACGTAAGAAATGTCATGGCATTTTATTAATTAATTTGTATCATGTTATAAATTACTCAGTATTTATTAATGTAGAGGTATTATCTACAACATTATGATGCAATCATGGGCATTTGCCACAGGCATTACAAACATTACAAACTATATTATACACCTTTCAACAAGATTAATTAATGAACATGAACAAGATATATATCTTTTTCTACATTATCTTTTTGTTTATAACGTTGTAGTATTTTTGCATACCACAACAATTTGTATAAATTGCTGAATAAAATTAAATCATAAATGAAAAACAACAAGTAGGTTTTAATAATAATCAAAAAGTTTACCTACCATCGTCCGTAGTCAGACACTCCATTTTCAAAACACTAAGACGGCAGAAATATCAGAATTAAAATAACTATAAACAGGTGAACTTGTTATTGACCGCGTCGAAGGACTGCGAACACTAACATACAGTCATTACTACCTACCTATGTATATGTATATTTATCACTCCACTCAGCTAAACAGGTTATTGAAATCAGTCTTTTGTTTGTGTTTAACTTACACACACAACAGTTCTGTTGTTGTAACAAAACTGCGTATGTGTGTGTCTGATCTGTACATCTGTAGATGTTTATGATTAACTCGTACCGTCTATGAGTGTGTATAGCGGAACTTCATACCCTACTAATGATATGCAGAGGATCAATGCACTTTGCATTAAACTTTCTATTTGTTGGTTTATTAATCTACCTTGACCAATGTCAAGGTTAATTGTAGAACCGATAAAAATATTCATTATAGTTTTTGACCCTACAGTTATATCTACTAAAAAAGACACATGCAGCAGTATCTTCTTATGTCCTCACTGTGATCTCCACACTGCTCCTGTTGCCTGTGCCCGTAAGCTTGGCAGAAGATTAGGTATAACAACAAACCTCTTCCTATTGTGAGGATACATGATGACAATGAAAAAGAACCATTGCGGACATCTTATCAAGTTCTTAAAATTGGTCAAATGTCTTTTTTATAATAAATATTGTGAGACATGCTGAATAACTATTATTACGTGCCATCGCCGCGACCGCGCACGCTGCTCATGAAGAAGAATCCCTCTGTGACTCGAAACTAGTAGAGCTTTTCTCAGTATACTATTTACGTGAGTAACACGTAATTTTTAGTTAATAATAAGTAATAGAAAAGTGTGGGAGAGCCATGCTTCGGCACGAATAGGCCGGCTCGACCGGAGTGATACCACGGCCTCACAGAAAACCGACGTAAAGCAACGCTTGCGTTGTGTTCCGTCGTGTGAGGTTACCGTAGGCCCAATTACCCTCCCCTTCCCCAATCTCCCCAATTCCTGAATCCCCAACGATCCTCCAACTCCTAATCCCCAAAAGGCCGGTAACGCACTTGTAACGCCTCTGGTGTTCCAGGTGTCCATGGGCGATGTCGATTGCTTACCATCAGGTGATCCATCTGCTCGTTTACCGGCTTATGCCATAAAAAAATGTTCAAATATTCATGTAGAGATGTCTAGTTCAGTTACAAACTACGTTAAAATAGATTGTTAGGTGCCATAAATCTTAATTACCGTGAATTATTCACTCATTAAGACTTCAATTATGGCTAATGACAAGATTATACACATTGTATACTATTGTAATAAGGTATGCCTTAAAAAAAATAAAACTATATTACTTTGTTATCTTAACCACATGACTTCAATTTGTTGTTCTTAGGTTTACACAATAACCTTTTTTTACTTCTAAAAAGATAATTAACTAAAAATGAATAAAAGTGATGAAACTGTTTACAGATACATTTTCCGTATCTTGGCGTAAAAAATTGTCACTTTGCAAATAGGGATTTCAATCATTTTTTCTCAGGTATTTCCAGCAAGTTTTGTAGCATGACTGTTTCTAGGAAAAGGAAAATAAAAATAGGAAAGGAATAGGAATAAGAAATATAAGAAATGAAAAGGAAACTATAGAAATAAGTTAAAGACACACTCAGGACAGAATAATGAAAATAGCTCTCACATTCTTTGTATATAATTCGTATGTACATAATTGAGAATATTGTTATGTTACCAAATATAATACACATAGATACAGTACTAAAATGTGAAACAGGTACATATTATTGTATTATTTGGGAATGTTTTTTTCCTAGTGTCAATTAAACTAAATATTATTTATATTCATGTTTACAATTAATCTACAAATATTAGTCAAGTCGAATAGCAGCAGCTTCAGCAAAGACTTCTTTACCCAATCGTTCTCCAAAAGATTTTCCCTTATAATAAAAATCATTAAACGATACGCGAATCCCGACTTCGAAATTTAAAACCTTCCCAATCTTCTGAGTTGGTTCCGAAGTCCATAAAGCTTGACAGATCTTAGGAACTTTGTTTATTGGTTTTCTAGCCGCCATATTGGAATATTTTGGCCCTAAATCTTGTACCGACATTTGAGAGACTGGACCATTCTTCAGTCTCTTTGCTAAATCTATTGAAGTGCTGCACAGGATTCTGCCAAGTTTCTGATGTCTGTGCTCTCGAAGTGTTGCTAGGAACATTATTTCAAGGCTGCAGTCAACATTGTATCTGGAAAAAGAGATAGAATAATTATATAAATTAACTAGCGGACCCGACAGACGATGCATCCTGCATATAATATAATAATAGGTATAGATAAATAACCTAGATTCCGACTGCAGCGCCATCTACCGGGCTGATTTGTGAATCTAAACCATCCAGGGCGCCACTCAAACGCATACAGATAAATTCATTTAAATCGGTCAAGCCGTTTAGGAAGAGTTCAATGACATACACACGTACAGCAGAATTATATATATAAAGATAAAGATACTAAAACCACAGCACTACATTTCTTAACGTGTAGGCCATAAGCGGTTATAACGAAGATTTTTTTAATAAAATAAGCCGGTAAACGAGCAGTTGGATCACCTGATGGTAAACAATCGGCGTCGCCCATGGTAACCTGGAACACCAGAGGCGTTACAAGTGCGTTGTCGGCCTTTTGAAGATTAGGAGTTTGAGGATCGTTGGGGATTCAGGAATTGGGGAGATTGGGGAAGGGGAGGGTAATTGAGCCTAAAACACGACGAAACACAACGCAAGCGTTGTTTCACGTCGGTTTTCTGTAAGGCCATAGTATCACTCCGGTGGAGCCGGCCCATTCGTGCCGAAGCATGGCTCTCCCATAGTTAGATATTTTAACATTTTAACATTAGATATTTTCTACTGTATAAAAATGTATTACTTCCATTTATTATCATGGAAATTGTAATTTACCTTAACGATTATGTTTAAACTGTCAAACACCAAGCGGTCACCGGTGACCGCAACCTATTGTTCTATAATTGTGTCTACAAAACCGCTCGACGAGTTAAAACAACAAGCCGCCAATATTGACAAGTGATTTCATGTTGACATGAAAACTGTTCCGAGAATAAAAGACACAATCATGTTATTTTATGGCTTGTTCAAATTAAGTCTTCTCCTTCAAAGTGCTGACTTCAATTGCTTTCCACGAACAGACAGACAGCGAAATACAGATTCACTTGTAAGATGTAAAGAATAAAAGCCAATTTCTCAGAATAGTTCCGAGATGGTTTCGGTAAGACAATAGCAAGATCTTAATGGATCTCAACTGGCAATCAGCCGGGATGTTCTTTGTTGCCGTTGTCCTATAGTTGTATGCCCATTGTGTGAACAATATTAATGTTTCTGCTATTTGTGAACTATTGAATACAAAACATAGTTCATCTACTAAATAGTTAGTTTAGTGATATCTCATGTGACTACTTAATTTGAGTACTGTAAAATGATTTATATAATTTTTCTTGGTTAAACACAATAGACACCACACGCAAACTACTACACTGTTGGAAATAAGTCAATACGTTTCTGATTTAATTGAATTCAATTCATCAACAGCCTATAAGGCCGCTGACCAAAAGCCTCTTCTCGCACAGAGAACGTTTGAGCATTAATCACCACGCTTGCTCAATGCGGGTTGGTAATTTCAAACTTATAATTAGAAATTATAAGGCTAAGTTTCCTCGCGATGTTTTCTTTTACCGTTTGTCAGCAGTGGTGTCTAAATAATCTTAGAGAGTACATGTAACTTGGAAAAAGACTCATTAATACTTGCCGTTGGTAGGTTTCGAACCCACACTTTCATGCATGAGACGCTTGCATTTTCAACCTCCCAGTTACCAGGACATGATTCAATAGCAACTAATGAAAATAACTCCTTTATGAAGCCCAACATAGAACTAAAACACCGTCAAAGCAGTTAATGACTTTGATAACAAACTAATGTACCTTTAATAAAAAATCAGACTCTTCTATCTATATTAACTAGATAAGTACATAATAATAATCAATGCACAGCCTTATTTAATCGATATTGCGTATATTAAGTCCATAAATAACCTGGATAGGTAGACACATTAGTATGTCTGCCAATCTTCCTACTGATCTGTAATAGGCTTGCGTGATCAAGTACACTTTATATTATGTAATAGGTGTCTGCTACACATGTTATATATTAAGGGCTATTAACTTGACATTGACTATGACTGGCAGTTAAGACATGTTTGTGTTTTAGTAGTATATGTTTTTTTCTGACCCTTTTTTGACTTTGGTTGGTGCTAGTTGGCTTTGGTCTAATTTCAATCTTTTATCATCTACAACCGGCTAAGGATATAGGACATAAGGAACCGGTCATGAATATATACAGTATTAGGTCCGTTGTCAATTTTTCTAATTTTTATAACTACAGCTGTCATTGATGGGTGTATAACGATGTATCTGTAGGCTAACGTGACGTGGTTTAATTTACACGCCGGATATGTTAATTTGTTCTTTTATGTAACATCAGGCAAAGGAAAATTTACCTTTAATCAAATGGTAATACTCCTTATTTATATTTCCGAATGAAAAGAAAAGAAAAAATAAATTAACTGTTTCAGTAAAAACAAGTAATGAATACGAACTCTATTGCCGGAATACTGAAACGTTAGTCAATTTTAAGTCGTGCTCAAATATCGTGCCATCTCTATCTCTGTCATTTTACAAAGAATTAGTGGTGACAGAATTATACTTAAGCACGACTTAAAATTGAGTAACGTTTCAGTATTCTCACATATGACTCTTACTTATCCATTTGAAAAAAAAAAATTGTATTGAATAAAATTCTTTACACAAAGAACACGCAAATCAAAACGTTTGGTTGCTCCATACAATTTGCTAAAAAAACAACAAACAACGTTCCTGTTGGCGCTCATAAAACCACATTATTCATAAGACGTATTAACTTGGCAGTTCCATCATGTAAACGAGATTACCAGAATTAATGAGACTTGCACCATTATGGCGAGTCGGTACGGAGATGAATATGCCGAGTATATTATGCATCACAGTTTTACGTTCAGTCGTAAAAGTACAAATTTTGGGACTCTGGATAAAGCAGAGTTTTGACAAACACACAACCATAACTGTTAGCACTGTTTCAGCTTAGATATGTGCAATGTCCTAAATAAATAATTAGTCTATTACTTGAGCCATCATGATCATTCAACAACTTCTCTTGGTGAACCTCATCAGTGTAGTGTAGGGCGCCTCCAGCTAGGTGGAGTAACGGAGCAACGTGGCTGGATAATCGAGCTCAGTGGCGTACCATCGGAGAGGCGAATATCCAGCAGTGGACGAGAGACTCCGAAGAGCCTTTAATAATATAATTCATCATCATGATCATCGTCAATAACCTAACGGGCTATATAGCACTATATAACTTAATCCGTTGCGAATCGCTGAGAGAATTGTTTAAAACGATAAATATTTGAACGGTGCCCTGTCAATATATATATATGAAAATATAATGTATGTAAAGAAATATAGGCAATTGTTTGAAAAAAGAAGCGATACATACAATTTCAATACTAGAGGCACAAATAAGTAACGAATGAAGTTGCTTGCTCGTTCTTCTCCATTCGAATCTACAATTTGGAATGAGCACCTAGCTTCACCTAGCTTCACTGACGGACTGACTGACAGACTATTATTTATTTACGTATTTGTTGACGTTTCAAAATTACCAAATTATGGTTTATTTGAAATAAATGCTTTGAATTTGACTTTAACTTATAGGAATATTTACCAGGGCATTTTCTCCATAACTAAGGAACATTCTAGTGGTAACTTCCAGAGAGTTCATGAAATTAGAGAATTCTTTTAGAATTCGGAATTCAAACTTAGAATTCAGAAAAAAAATCAACCAGTCATACTTACTTCTCAAAGAAATTACATTTGCCGTCGACTTCTGCCATCCACTCAATTAGAGCTCGCGATGATGGTTGAGTACAGCGTTCCTCTGCGAATATTTCAAAGAAAGGCTTTTCTGAAGAATCTGATGTTGCCACCTGAAAAGATAAAATAATCCTTATTGACATACATTTAATTCATTTGGTATCCGTATGCTTAATTGTAGTATATTATTAAAACTTATATGCCCATGGTATATACAATACTTTTATTATAAACTACTGTATAAAAAACCCGACTTCAGCACCCTCTTTTTTTGAGGTCGGTTTACTTATATACTAAAAACGTCTCCCAAGTGAAACAAAAACTGTCCACTGTCCCACTGTCCACTGTCCCACTGTCCACTGTCTACTGTCTAATCTCTTTACATCTCCAGAATTCTGATTCCAAAATCATACCATAAAAATATTCCTTTACGACGGAAAATGAGATGGGACAAACCCGAAACTAGTAAATTATTAAGCAGTACTAACAAAAAAAAAGTTAAATTACAGTTTATTTCAAGAACATTTTTATTCTTTATCTTTTTATGTTTTCCTTCGTTAAAGTTACTGTCTCATTTACATATCGATATTCCGAGTGTTACAGAAACGAATTAAAATAACAAAGTAGCGGCTTAGTATTCATTACTGAGATAATTAGTTAGGAACTGTATAATTATTCTCAAGTTCTATTCAAAAATTAGATAAGGTGATTAACAGCTAATATTGTTTTCATGTTTAAGTTTAGCAGTCGCATTATTTACGAATGAACAATCGCGTGTTGCGGAATGCTTCTCATGAATATGAGCCTCTAGCATGGCTTGAAACTAGTCGAGTTCCTCGTCAAACACGTTACGTGACTAAGCCGAAAACATAAACGAAGTTTTAATATATACATGTGATAAGTCATTATAAATATATGTTTTTTATTTAGAAAATAAATGTGTTTAAACTGTCAAACACCAAGCGGTCACCGGTGACCGCAACCTATTCTATAATTGTGTCTACAAAACCGGTACTCGACGAGTTAAGTAAAGTTTTCATCGGCATATATTAGTATAAGGTACAAGTAAGTAGTATAACTGATTACCTTTATCAACCAACAATATCCTATTAACTTGTTCCTTGTTTTATGAAGTTAAGGCAGATTCATGAATGAATATTTCTATTAAGTTAGGTAAAAAAATTCTTGTTTCAAAGTGTTAAATACTCATAAATACAATTAAAGATCTAAGAACATACATTATTAACTTTTGTAGGTATTAGTAATAATAGAAATTTTAATGAACAATTTATTTTGTTCCGAGTCGGGCAAAGTAATATGGGGATTAAAAAAAATCTCAGTCGTAGCAAGGAGTCTGGAAAAGTGCCCGGTATATGGCAGTAGGCTCGCCCCCTATTATGTGGGACGCATAACATAAATAGTGAAATGTAGGTCTTATTGTACATGGCATTAAGTACCGTAATCTGCAGCTCTGCCTATCCCTTCGGGGATAAAAGGCGTGATGTTACGTTATGTTTATTTACCTGTATTTTATTGAAAGCAACAGATACAACTTCTCCGCTATCAATAGCCACAGCTACTAAGGACACGCCATCCAGTGCTGCATCTGCGCACAATTCTAACAGCTCTTCTGCAGCCACGGGATTCTTATTTACTTCTGTGCCTATACTCACGGACTCATCTTGGCAGAAGGATTCTGTTATAACCTAGAACATTTAGGCAATAGTTTTTAGCATTTTAAGTAAATATTGTAGAATAATAATAGTTATAACCTAGAACATTTAGGCAATAGTTTTTAGCATTTTAAGTAAATATTGTAGAATAATCAAGCATTATTAATGCCCAAAAGAATTTATTGAACAATCGAATATGCTTTATTTTGCTTAGACGCTTAATAATTTCATCTACTCGTACTTAACTACCACGGTCACTATAGAGAAGTATCTAAGTTATAAAAATAACATTCAGAAATGTATTGTTATTTTTCAATTCATTTTCCCATTCAAATAACATTTATTTTATTCAGGCATTTCAATGCAATGTTGAGGCGAGACGAAACTAAATAGTCTTATTGTATTTACAGAAAATACTCACTCGTAATGCCCCGGGGAAAGTAGCAGCTGATAGAGATTCTATTCTGTACTTTCCTGTAACAAAAATACAAGTGGTTTATAAATTTGTATTTTAAGGTCTAAGTATTTTGTCCGTTTTTTGTTAAGATTGCACAATTATTGCCTCATTGAGTAGTGAGATTTTAGAGATCGTAAGTAGAACTGAACGTGGTCTTGGTGGCCTGGAGGTTTAAGACGCCCGCTTCTCATGCATGAAGGTTCGGGTTTGAAAGTTACCAACGGCAAGTACCAATGTGCCTTTTTCAAGTTATATGTACTTTCTAAGGTTATTTAGACACCATTGACAAACGGCGAAGGAAAACTTCGTAAGGAAACCTGGGCTTACAATTTCTAATTATAAGTTTGAACCCGCATTGAATAAGCGTGGTGAAGAAGCTTTGTCCCGTAGTGGGCATTTATAGGCTGTTGATGATGATGAAGTACAACTGCTAAGCAAAATAGGTGTACAGGTTTCGGTCCCTAGACGAGCCAGGTATTATTGTGGTTTTTCGGTTTTTTTTATAGCACAAGCCGGTAAACCAGCAGACGGATCACCTGATGGTAAGCAATCGGCGCCGCCTATTGAGTGGTGTTATAGGTGTCCTACCTGGAACACCAAGGCGTTACATGTGCGTTACCGGTCTTTTGGGAATTGCACCTAACAATATATTTTAACGTAGTTTGTAACTGAACTAGTATCTCTACATGAATATTTGAACATTTTTTTTATGGCATAAGCCGGTAAACGAGCAGATGGATCATCTGATGGTAAGCAATCGACATCGCCCATGGACACCTGGAACACCAGAGGCGTTACAAGTGCGTAACCGGCCTTTTGGGGATTAGGACTTGGAGGATCGTTGGGGATTCAGGAATTGGGGAGACTAGGGAGGGGGGTAATTGGGCCTCCGGTAACCTCACTCACATGACGAAACACAACGCTAGCGTTGTTTCACGTCGGTTTTCGGTGAGGCCGTGGTATTACTCCGGTCGATCCGGCCCATTCGTGTCGAAGCATCGCTCTCGCACACTTTAAGTTCTTCAAAAATATATTTCTTTTTATTAGGCTCATAACATATCTATTCACTAGGTACTGTGAGTGTAGTAATTAAAACGCATGATGTTATATAACTACGATTTGCTATGTATATTTCATTTTCTGTTCCTTTATCTATCAACAAGAGATTTTAAATTAATAACCAATAAGTCCAAAATAGAATGAACTGCTCTCGTAAAATTCATATAGGTACCCGCAAAAGTTTCTAAACATCAACGATTGGTATTGCTACGTAAAATATCTCAAAGGCCCTCTACGCTTTTAACGGATAGTTTCCATATCTGAAAACTGAACATTGTCGTTTCTAGTATCCGCAAAAAGAGAAAAGCAAGTGGGATCCCCGCTTTGTGGAGTTTTTTTCCTCTTGTTCAAAAACCATAGGAATTTCGAATGAATTTGGGCTTCTTTTTTTAAAAAGAGTTGATACCTACCCTACGTATTGAATATGTACATCACACTAGACTATTTTCTATTAGCTAATGGAAACAAGCAAACATATAAATATGGCAGAATATATCCATTAATCTATACTAATATATAAATGATATACTGTAAGTATAACATGATGATTATGACTACCTCATTGGCTGAGTGGTCCCAAGTGCGACCCCGGACAAGTGGTCTCGGGTTCGATTGCCGGGGAAAAATATTACTGGGTATAAAAAAAAATTCTCAGTAGTAGCATGGAGTCTGGAATTATGCCCGATATATGGCAATAGGCTCACCACCTATACATGGGACTCATAACGTGAGGCTCCGGCTTGACGTGCAGGAGACGGAACGGGGTGGTTTTTAGTCAGTAAGAGTCTGACACTAAAGGCGGGAGCAGACATTCGATGATTTTCCCCCTTAAAAAAAACGTGAAAAGTGGTTGTTACATGGTACAGTGGCATTAAGTGCCGTAATGTGCACCCCTGCCTAGTTCTTCGGGGATAAAAAGGCGTGATGTTATGTTATAAGTACAAAATATTGGACCTATCTTTGAAACTACTGGATCGAATTGAATAATCCTTTTTGTCTTATAGGCTATAAAACTTTGTGCTACGATTAATTGGAACCGAACAACGGGTAAATCGTGCAGGAGGGGCTAGTAATAGTCTTTAATATTATTGTAATCAGGAAATTGCAATTTAAAGCAATACTCGTTATTTTTACATTTATAAATAGCGATAGTGGAAACAATAGTTTCTATCCTATTCGATATTGAAAACAAAAGAGGTGAAACGTTATCACAATATTCTGTAAATTGGAACCAGTGTTTTTTAAACTTTGCTCCTTACTACGATTCCTATTATGTCGTGGGTGCATTAAAATGAATATACAAGTTCACATACAAGACATCCAAGCCGACAACAATAATAATTTGTGAATCACACAAAGAATTTCACCGGCTCCGGCAGCCGGTTAACTAGTCACCGCACCAGCCGTGCAATCATAATTAGTTGATAATAATAATATCCATTAGGAAGTTGACTAAACTTATACTAATTCTTGACTATACCAGTAACTGGAGTTATGAAATAGAAACTTCAATACATACTGTACACGTCACATGGAACGAACTCGCAACCAATTGTTTGATAATTACACTATTGCCGCCCAGCCAACACCTTCATCATGATAAATATTATGTACTAACAACTGCCGCGCGAGTTTACCCGCTGTGCTCGGCTCCTATTGAACCTAGCATGATGTTTTATAGCCTATAGTCTTCCTTGATAAATGTTCTATCAAACACTAAAAGAATTATTCAAATAGGACCAGTTCCGTAGACTAATGCGTTCAAACAAACATAGATACCCTTTAGCTTTATACAATAATACTAGATGATCAAATCTGTTTGATCATCTAATTTTCGCGTTAAAAAATCTCACCTTTTAAACCTTCCTCGGGTTTCCATAAACATTTCAAGACAAAAATTAGCCAAATCGGTTCAGCTGTTGTCAAGTTTTAGCGAGACCAACGAACAGAAATTCATTTTTATTTATATAGATATAAGATTATAATTATCGGTTTGGTCGGATTACCTACTTACATTATGCAAATATTACTATCACAGATTATTTAGATAAAAAGTGTGTTGATAGGTAAATATACAATTTGTAATAAACGACAATTATTTAGATAGTACAAATACTTTGGATTCAAGCTGATAAATACATAATACATTTTCAATTCTATTACAAGAAATAATAAGTGGATAACCTATTAAAACAATTGTACCGTTACGTGACAAAAGTATAGGCGAGTGCAAAGGCATGGAAAGTTATTGTTGTAAACAAAGTAGGTACTACTCTACTCTATGACACGTGTAATGGTATTTCCTTATTATAATGTCAATATTGAAACTAGTATTCACACCTCATTGGTAGTTGGAAACCCCAAAAGAATCCCAACATCGACGTTTTTAAAGAGAGACCTAGTATTATAATAATATTCATAACTTACCGGTGAACGTAAAAGAACTCGTCAACTCTTGTATAGAGCCAATTGAAGGCGATTCTAGTTTAAATCTACAAACTTCAAACCACAATTTATTTGAAATAAGAACTCTGTTTTACACTTTCTCTTACAGTTAATGTATCAACAGCGTTATTTATGAATGAACAATCATCGTCAAATTGTCAACAGAGATACGGTAACATTTATTATTATAGACGCCGGTTTTGTAATAGCAACAAAGTCAATCTTTACAACAAAACATCACTAGCATACTTGATTACAAAACTATGTCAAAAATAAAATCAAATAAATACTCACCATCATCTGTGATAAGCCACTCCATGTTTCAAAACAACACAATTAAAAAAAAAATCTATAAAAATGTGTGATAAAATGCAAAAACGTGCGCCTGCGCTGCCACTGTGTAATCGACTAACGCTATAATCGCGACATTGTCAGTTACATTTATGTGTTACGCGAGACTAGACGTCACTGTCACTGAGCTGAGTTTATTGTACTGTATGGATAAAGCGGATAACTTTTCGACCTTATTTGGATGCCTATTTATTATTGGAAAAAAATAATGTCCGCTTTATTGATGTTTGTTTAATTGATAGATCGTTGTGAATTATTGTAATTAAATAAAAACAACGGAATAGTTAAAAGATGCTTTTTAAATAAATTCTATTAATTTATTGTGTAATAAAGTTATCTACATTATATAAATTGTGTATTATTTCTATGTATTATGAGTAACAAAAAGTAATCTGAATTAGGTATAAAGTATAAAAAGTTCATAAATACGTCTCAAAACTAAAATTATTACACAAAATAATAGTAGATTACACCAGATTAATGTTGACTTAAAAAAAATCAACATGAAAAATAAATAAATTATTAAGTATGTTTTTAACTCTCGTACTTGACTACAAATTTTTAAGCGAAGCTAGAGCAAACTCGACCAGTTACAAATCTCCTGCATGGCTCTTTTCCCGTCAAATAATTACGTGAGTAACTTGAAATCAGAGTAAAAACATAATCATAATCATAATGGTTACTATGTCGACTGTTCCCCATTTTTAGTCGTAGCGACGGAACTAAGTACACTCAGCGACCAAAAAATGTTACTAGAATGAATAAGTGTGGAAACATAGTGTCGAATTATTTCGTAATGGCTACCAAAAAGCGCTAAATGGGGTATATCTCACGATAATTATAATATGTATAAATGAAAAATATAATAATGTATATACAGAATCATTATTTTGGTCTGATTTTTTTCTACAGTTAATAATTATAATGGACTTTTACGTAAGGCAATATGTAAGCAGCTTTACATGTTATAAAATATGACATAATTATACTTAAACAGAAATTTATTTAAAAGCAACGCGAGAAAATCTTAAACAACAATTTGAACCGTTTTATGAATTTATCAAGAGCTAGAATAAATTAAATTTTGTCTCGTTTAATCATAATCTCTGTGTCTGACAACTTATTTAATACACGGCCGATTAATTTTCTAAAATACAAAAGAAAATAAGATGAAAATATCAAACGCAAAGATCACGACGAAATTGTACATAAAAATACGAGCTCAATTCAAAAACACCGAAGGCTATTCTTTCATGAATATAATCAGCTTTCGTCGTGAAATTATTAATTTTTATAATGACTTCATAAGTACGATTTAAGATTATGTTCAGAAAAATACACCCAAATTGGAAACCTTCCCGAAGTCGATTAAAAATGTTTCCGGCTTCCAAAAGAGGTCGAAAATCGAAGTTGACGACTTATTTTATAAGACGCCAATTTTTTTATTTTAGTCGTCCCTGTTTAAATATAATTTGGAAATTATAAGGCTATATTTAGCAGTATCAAAATAGCCATGACTTAACATTTCAAATACGTCTATTTTTTACCTAGACTTGTTAAGTTTACAAAAGTGTCTATTTTTTGTTTAGAAAAACTTGGTTTCCTAAATATTATTAATGTGTTACGAGTATTACATGGTCATTTTTTTAAGTACGATCAGCATCAAAAGTTGATGAACACATTTAGATTTTCAAAATCGCTGTTCTCCGGATTTTACCTAAATCGGCAAATATAACAAGCACCTTAAATGCAACACAAGATAATTATTATTTTCTGGCGCTTGTCATATTGATCGATTTACTGTATAAAGTTGTACAGTGTGTAGGACAGTGAGTGTAAACGAGTGAGTAAGTACAGCGGTGTACAGTAATATGCTGTACAGCGATTTTGCAAAACTAAACGTGTTCATCAACTTTTGATTCTGACCGTACCAATAATATAACACGAAGTATTTATTATTATATTAACTTATAATTTATAATGTCTGTTCTATAAATACTATTAACATTACTATGATTTCATAAAGAGAAAAATATGGCGCCTTTTTTTAGAATAATTGGCGATAGAAAACCTATTACGTAGGAAAACTAATCCCTATGAACTTCAAATTGAATCAGGGCTTAGAAAATATGGAACAGTCTCTGATATGACAAGTCAGGTCTAAGAAATATGGCTGATTCAGTGGAAAGCAATCAGCAGGCGAACCACGCCGACGAAATTCAATTTCTCAGGACGTAACAGCTATCGTGGCTATAAAGTGTTCACATAATTTAAATGGAAACATTTTTAAATTTTAATATAGTAGATGGAAGTTAGGATAATTTTATTCTAGCTGAATAAATGCAGATTGCAAATGGAATCGTTATGAAACAGTAGGTTTGATCTCCCAGTTGAGGAAATATTTTAAGGTTCATAGAGACTGACTCACACACACTTGTGCTTGTGCCATTAATTTTAATATAACCGTAGGTAGCCGTATAATATTCAGCAACAGTTAAGAAATAAAGAATGAAGTAAACAATTTAAAAAAGAAAATGAACAAATTCATCTAACATTTTTTACAACATAACATAACATCACGCCTTTTATCCCACTTTTCACTATTTATATTATAAGTCCCATGTAATAGGGGGTGAGCCTATTGACATACCGGCAACAATTCCAGACCCCGTGCTACTACTTCTTAAAAACCCAGTAATACTTTGCCTGACCCGTGAATCGAACTCCTTACCCGGCAGTCGCACTTGCGACCATTTGACAAACGAGGCAGTCTTTCACAGATATGAATAAGTCAAAGTCAAAGTCAAAGTCAAAGCATTTATTTCAATTAAACCATAGTTTGGTACTTTTGAAACGTCAACAAATACAAAATAAATAATAGTCTGTCAGTCAGTCCGTCAGTGAAGCTAGGTGAAGCTAGGTGCTCATTCCAAAACGTAGATTCGAATGGAGAAGAACGAGCAAGAAACTCTATTCGTTACTCTTTTAAAAAAGTATGGTCTACAATGTCTCTGATACATATTTCAATACTGTACGCATATGTAAGAACAATGCAAAGACACGCTTGACGCATTATACTAATAACTTACTGAAATAAAAATAAAAATAATAAAGATCTTAAGTCTAACATGGTGCTCACATATGCATACTGACAATCCATAGAAATAGTGCTTCTATACAAGAAAAAGGAAACTCTTTGTTTCAATAAAGAAAGAAATGATCGATGCCATAAGGAAACTAGATTGTCTACATTAGAATTAAAGTATTAAATTATGTATTATATTACCTACTATTGGAATTTAACTACTGACTACATTTGAGTATTGTCCAGTGGAGCCGAACCAACATGCTGCCAAGCATTCTTATCTTCTAGATAATCTGTCAGTGTGTAGTAAGCTTGATTGCATAATTCGCGCTTAATATATGTTTTAAATTTACTTTCATTGAGATCTAGTATGCTATTTGGTATTTTATTATATCATTTAATACCTAACCCCATAAAGGATTTCTGTACTTTGGACAGTCTGAATTGCGGTATAGCTAACTTATTTTTGCCTCTAGTATTAAAATTGTGTCTATCGCTTCTTTTTTCAAACAATTGCCTATTTTTCCTTACATACATTATATTTTCATATATATATATTGACAGGGCACCGTTAAAATATTTATCGTTTTAAACAATTCTCTCAACGATTCGCAACGGCGTAAGTTATATATTGCTCGGATAGCCCGCTTTAATAATAAATTAAATACAAAGGACTAGTATAAAATTAAAAGCTCAAAAACACAACAATATCATCTCCCAAGTCAGCAGCAATAAAAAAGACGTATCCTCACACAACCGACCCAACTTTACAGTCGTACCTAGAATTTTAAGGAACCACTTTTATTTCTTTTTTAAATTAACTGCCGAAATAAAAAAGGTTGTTAACATTAAAACATATAACCTAGGACGCAATAAAACGTTTTTTTTTAATGGGACAAGCCCGCCACAACCTCCCAAAACCGCTGCAACTCCTGTACGCCAGGATCTACAGTAGATACAACCATGAAAACACCGGAAAAATGAAGTCCGGCGCGTCCCAGGGACATGAATAACTATATTAGTTCCCGCAACGAAGTGAATCAGAAGATATTATAAGAGAAGAAGAAAAAAACGATAGTTTCCACTTCACTCGGTGAATTACTGAGAGTGAATTAAGCCAAAGGTACAAAGAAAAGAGACTGTACAAATAAAACGTTTCTGAAAAACATTGTGTTACTCGTCACGGGTGAACTTAATGAAACACATCGGAGAACGAGCTACGAATCTTGAATTCTAAACACGAACCAATCTTGTTAACTATACGACTGTCAGCCCACTTCATTTCCCCGAGAAAATTGCCTAGATAATGTACATTTTGCTATGGATGTAGAAAAAATGTTATGAGAATGAGTAATTGAGTTACATCTGTGTAAGGACTTAGTTTGTGATCCTACTATATTAGTAGGTACACAATGTTAGTGAAAAATTATCTAGAATTGTATATTAACTTGGATAGTGGGTGTAGGTACTAACACAATTCTTTTGCTAACTTCTTTATAAAAACCAGATGAAATTGTGTACTCATGATCTAATAATTTATATTTTTGGTTTTTAGAGATTATTGAATAGACTCGAAACAAGACTGCCTCATTTGCCGAGTGGTCGCAAGTGCGACTGCCGGGCAAGAGGTCTCAGGTCTCGGCTTTTCAAAAAATCTCAGTAGTAGCACGGAATCTGGAATTGTGCCTGGTATACGGCAACAGGCTCACCCCCTATTAGGTACATGGGACTCATAACATAATTAGGGAAAAGTGGGTGTTACAATATTGCACAGTGGGATTAAGTGCCGTGATGCCTCTGCCTACCCCTTTCGGGGATAAAAGGCGTGATGTTTTGTTTGTGTCGAAACAAAGGCTTAAGTTCACTTTTTTCTTGTTAATGTTTAAAACAGTTGTTATTTCTAATTGTTACCCTTGTTATCGTCCGAACTGTTTCTGTCATTAACCTTTATTTATTACCCCGGAGGCTTGAGGGTTTAAAT